CAAATTAAACTTTATATGAGCAAGCGTTAGACTAATATAGTTTAAATAAACTGGCTTTGGAATAATTTATGCCAGGTAAATAAACTATGATTATGAATAATTTAGAAGATGACCATTACATAATGGACTTATTTAGTACTAATTTTGTTAGACATTATCCCCGAGCTATTTCTTTATATTTTTTGAAGGGTAGATCCAGCAAAGTGCAATTTTGGTTCCTTTTTTTAAGACCCATGCATTTGGCTATTTGTCAACGATATTGCTGAACTATGTGATTTTTGGAATCAAAATGAACTGCTTATTTATGTCAACAGTGTATGTACTAAAGAAAAAATGAACATAATGACTAGAGCCGGCCTTTAGGATAGTGAGTTAACTAAAACATTCTGCAACTCGTTAATCCTAATGAGTATCTTCAAGTAATATGTGTGCATTACCAGCTTCAAAGGAATAACTAAAGAACGGAAAATGCATCTGGTCTTGAAAAGGGTTATTTGCCCCTTGCTTTTTTATTTATAATTGCCAAAGAACTTACTTGGAGGTAAATTACCATAACGGTGCATGGCCGCTAAAAAAACTGACAAATAAAGTTCCCTCTTACGCACACTTTTATGGGCCATATAAGTGGGCAAATCGTTTTGGTAAAGGAATTTGCTCAGGATGTTTGGAAATTTACATCCAGAATGCAAGTGACCTGAAAGGGCGAACTACCGATGGTTTACCAACTCGATGTTAAATATTTGCTAAGGTTCCTTTTAAAAATTTCGCAAAAAAGACGTTTTACCATTTCTTAAATATGAAGCACATGATTCCTTGCTCCGAAAGAGGGTCCTTTGGTGCTCGGGCTCGCCTCTAAAGACGTCACGAGGCATATGAGTTTGGAAGTAACAACATCAGAAATGACCAGAAGGACTTGCAGTATGGCTCCAGTTATCAATTGCATTCCTATAGAACACGGAAATGGGGTAGTTAGGCTTCGCCACAGATCCTCCCATCCGCAGCATATGTCCTTCTTCCTTCACATTAAGGTTTAGCAGTTAGCAATGGAAATAGCCATTGTTTTATGGGATCAAGTTTACAATTCACTGCCACAAATATGACTATCCTGGACTTCCTTAAAGACAGAAAAAGACATAACGATGGTAGAATGCTTATTCTCGACATGTCGAAGGGTTAGGGCTATTGGCACTTATCGAAAGTACAAAGCCCCTGACCTCTATTGTCCGCTTAACCAAAAGAAAACGTTGGAGATATGCCAGCTCTGTGACTAAAACAATTAAGCATATTATTAAAAGCGCGCAGCATTTTTAGGTTTAACTACTTTTCTGTTCAGTTCAGTAGTTCCTTTTAAACCCTGTAAACTACAGTACTGTGATTAAAATCCAGGCATATGTTTAGAGATGTTAAACCATTTCTTCATAACAATGACAAGTTAGTTTCCGGATTGTTTTAATTGTGACAGGTCAGCTGCTGCCAGTTATGGTGTTTCCTCGGAAGTGACAACATTTTCGCTTTTGTAGGAGAAGATAGTAAAGATATGTCTGTGAAACGGATTAAATATGATTGTAAATTTAGAGCAAATCAACAAAAAGCTATTTAATGGGATGAAGAAGGCAGACAAAGACATAGTTTAGGCGATCAAAAGCCAAAATGCACGAAGCCGGAGACAAATTAATAAATCTCTCGTAAACCTCCTAATTTTTTTGAGGAGTCGGTGAATAGCCTTTCATTTTTTTATGCATCAAAAAGAAATGGGTTGGGTGATTCAAAGATTACAGATAAAGGATATGCAAATGGCTGAATCTCTTAATACTCGTCGTTTTGGTTGCGCGGGCACCTTGATTGTACTTCTGCTGGGCGGAATGTCCTCCGTGTTGTCAGTAACCTCCAGTTCTCCTGTACGTTGACAATACGGATTCTGCCGAAGAAGTGCATTCTTTCTTTTTCATGTAGGGCTCAGGGGGTGTAGCTACGCTGGAAAGATGGAGTCCTCTCTGAGGACATTAGAGGTGGGCCATTGATAGAGGTAACCAACGGATCTTGAGGGGTCAAAACGTGTGTTGGTTTGAATTCTCCACTATGTTAGCTACCATCTGGAGTAAAATTAATCCAAAGGACAAAAGGTACCACACATTACGATTAGCTAATCTCCGTTAAATGTGATGTATTTTATCATTCAGTATATTTCAAGAGCACCGTAATTACTCGGGCCATAGCAGCACTAGGTTGCTTTGTTTGCTTTGTGTGCACCTCAACCAGTTTATAATCTCATCTCAGCTTTTGGCTGTGAGATTTAAACAATTACGCTTATTCTTCTAAAATATACCGCCGACTAATTTCACCTATCCTTATCAGATTGTTTATTCATGAATCAGAGGGGTCGTGCATATGGGAATACTTAAATAATTTAACCAAAAAATATTTTTGGAGTAAAATTCAGCTACTCATTTTACCCTAATCAAAAGGTTTTGAAAATATGTATTTAGTTTTCGAATCCTATTTACTCACAGAGTCGACCCTCCTTTTACTACCTTATGCAACACTTCGACGCTGAGGTAATAGTGCATAATTAAGCGCCTGGAGTCTTCCCTGAAGTCGAATGAAGACATAATACTGGGGCAGAATACGCATTGTCGAGGTACAGAAGGGATGAGGTGAGGCTACTAAAATGGCCCAGGGGTTATTCCGCCCACCATTGGCCACCATAATGTAATCTGTGTTTTGAAAAAGGATCACAAGCTAGCCGCTCTAGTCATCGAATTTACAGGCAATAGGGGAGATATCTGACAGCAAAGTCACCTATTTTCTCTGTTCACTTCTATTGGATCTAGAGTTTTGCTCTGTTTTGGGACTGTATTGGAAGAAGGGAAACGTGCTGGCCATGTCATATATCCATTGCTAATGGTAAGAATACTGATTTAAAAACAGAGTTATTTAATAAAGGATGTTCTATAAAATAGTTTCATTGGGATAAGGTTTTGCGTCTGTTTCTTCTTGTCACTTCGCTCTCACTTAAGTATTGCACAGCTATATGCCTCTCTGAGTTGTATCAATCTAGTTGGTAGGTGCCGTAGACAGCTCTATAACAAACTTTTAGAGGGTTCAAAGCCAGCGTCACTTAGGTTTTTAACAGCATTCCTGCACAATACGAAACTAAGGTAGTTGTCGAAGGTGGAGTTCACTCCCTCACCTGTTAAGGGTCATCATAGACATTTCCATCCCCAGCATCTGCCCTTCTTCCCTCATGATAAGGTTAAGCATTCAGTAATAGAAGTCAGAGTAAATGTGCTTTCGCTTTTTGCTAGTACCAATATCTCTTTTTAAAATGAGAGATCATAGTACCGGAGTAAAGTATGTATTGCCGACGTACAGAAGCACTGGGAGGACTGTAGGCATGGTTTGGAGGCCAGTAGCCCAGCAAAAGTAAGAAGGTTGAGCCTTAAGTGCTCAAGAAACTAAAAAGAAGAATTAGCCAATCTGTACAAATTTTATATATTGATCTCCACAAGTGACTCCTGTCTACATTTTTTAATTTAAACATTGCTTCTCTTATAGTCTACCTTTAAAAGTTTATTTACCGCCATCTGAGGACTCCAGTCACACTTTCATAGGTCGATTAACATCAAATTTTGGTGCGTTGAATTTTACGCTGCATTGTTTTTGACAAGTCACTAAAAATATATTATTTTTGGGCCACCTTTACCAACCAGTCATAGGCAAGCTTAATATTTTAGAATTGACTTCGGTTTGTCGTCGTCTAAAGCCTTTAATAACTTCCTGACAATATGAAGAACAAAGCTGCTTTAGAATTCAATAAAGCTTTTCGACGTTTTTGCCTTTCAAATACTACCACAACTTTCCAACTTTATTAGCAATCTGCTTTAAAGTTCATAATAATTTTTAGCTAAACTTCTTTGTTTTCAAGTACTGCCTGATCTTTAAATCGTCTTCAGCTAATAGACACCATAAAATCAACAGTTCATGCTAATAGTTAGGTGGAAATCCACAAGGGGGATAACCACGAAATCAGCTGTAGCAGCGGGAGCTTTAACGCTGCTCCTGTGGGCAATAATGATCAGGATAAACTTGATCCATTTGTTTTGTATGGGGAAACCGCAAGTAAACATAATTTTCCCCTTACCGACCCACCCTCCTAGCTGCCACCCCACTAAAGAGCTAATCTCCGAGCTAATCAGTATTATCATCATCATCATTGCTGGCAGCAGCGAGCAGGCGAGGTGTAGAGGCTGAGGTGGGTTGGGGTGGGCGAGATCACAAACAGCAACGCAATTAGCACACGCGTGTTTACCTCCACCGCCGCCTCCTGTCAACCTGAATAGGTGGTATTGCCTGAAAACCCCACTGAGTGCACCGCCCCTTCTTATCGATAATTGTAATCACATTCATCCGCACGCCACTCCACGCCACACATCATAATGCACGCGAATCCTCTTTGCAGTAACTGTAGTGGCGGTGGCGTGGAGGGAGGTAGCGAGGCGAGGCATTGAGTGAATGGAGGATTGAAGTTTGCGATAATTAGCGCGTTTTCAGCCTTCCCATTCTCCCTTCGCCTCGCTTCGCTTCTCCGCTCCTCCCCTACTCGTCCCCTCCCACATACACGTGTGCTTGAGCGTGAGCGCGTCTTATCATTGACGCCATCATTACCGCGAAAGGTGAGGTTGGGGG